ATATAATATATCTATATATCATATATAATATAATATATATCTATATAATAAATATAATATATGTCTATATATCATATATACATATATAATTATTATTTTTTTATTAACATTAACTTTATTTATTTTTTTGATTTTACACATGCAGGGAGACTGCCTGTCAGCACAGACAGTCCCCCTGCAGGCAGACACATGGACACCTATTGTGACCATGTGATCGCTGTGTTTAGCGATCACATGGCCACAGGGGTCCTAATCTGCCGTGGGGAGACTGTCTGGGCTGCAGGCAGTCTCCCCACAACCGGAGCCACGCTGATCGCCGCCGGGGGAACGACGGCGATCAGGTAAGTACTCAGACCGTTAGGACGGTTCAGGACCGTCATCGGTCGGCAAGGCAAAAATGCCGATGGCGGTCCTGAACCGTCCTGGGTCGGGAAGGGGTTAAATATAGTCTCCTCCTTTACTGTGTTGATTCCCTTTATGTATTTAAATGTTTCTATCATATCCCCCCTGTCTCGTCTTTCCTCCAAGCTATACATGTTAAGATCCTTTAACCTTTCCTGGTAAGTTTTATCCCGCAATCCATGAACCAGTTTAGTAGCCCTTCTCTGAACCCTCTCTAAGGTATCAATATCCTTCTGAAGATACGGTCTCCAGTACTGTGTACAATACTCCAAGTGAGGTCTCACCAGTGTTCTGTATATGAGGACTTCCCTCTTTCTACTGCTAATACCTCTCCCTATACAACCAAGCATTCTGCTAGCATTTCCTGCTGCTCTATTACATTGTCTGCCTACCTTTACAGCATCATACTGAATTAACTTTTGGATTAGAGGAAGAGAATTTATATACTCTAGAACAGGGTGCCCAAAAATGTGATTCCCAGAGGTCCTAAAACTACAGCTTCCATGATGCATTGTCATTCTAAAGGCATGCGAAGCATCATGTGAGCTGCAGTTCTACAACATCTGGAGATCCACTCCTTGGGCACCTCTGCTCTAGAAGGAAACAGAATATCAAGCAAATTTATAAATGTATAGTTTTGGAAGTGGAATGAATAACATAGGTATCTGGTTAACTCAATGAAGAAAACAGGGTAGATACAAAGAACATTTCATATACAAAATTAAGAGCTTGCACTGCTTTTAGAATATAGCTTAAAGGATCACTATAGTGTCAGGAAAACAAACCCGTTTTCCTGACACTATGTCATCCCTGGGGGACCCACACCCTCAGGGTCCCCCTCCCGCGGCACTGAAGGGGTTAAAACCCCTTCAGCAGCTTACCTTAATCCCGCGCTGGTGATCTCTCCTCCCCCGCCAACATCAGCTCCCGAGTGGAGCGGAATGCACGTGCATTGAAACAGGCCGTAGGAAAGCATTCTCAATGTTTTCCTATGGATGCTCTGCACGCTGGATGCGAGTTTTGCATCCAGGGTCGCAGAAGTGCCTCTAGCAGCTGTCAGGACTAGAGGTTGGATTAACCCTTCCTCTGAAACTGTTATGTTTACATGTGAAGGGTTAAAACCTGAGGGACCTGGCACCCAGACTACTTCATTGAGCTGAAGTGGTCTGGGTGACTATAGTGTGCCTTTAAAACAGGACATTGTGTACCAAAACCCCCGCATCTTAATGTAGCGGTATTGACGCATAGATGCTGTCCCTTTTATAGGACAATGTAAAACACTGCCGTTTTCGTAAACAGCAGTGATTACATTTGTCAGAAAACACTGCCGTTTGGTGGCACATTAGCATCAATGGTCACGAGCCATGTGTCCTCAATGTGAAGTTTACATGCATCTCAGCAAACAAGGAACACATCTGACCGTGTTAGTGAGTGTTCCTGTAAGGATATTTTAAAGAATAAACTAAAAAGTCCATCCAAGTATTAATTCATATTCTAGATTAAGTTTCAAAAGAAGCAATCTGCCCCCATGTATATTTCATTCTCCCCATTATCAGGGAGAACAATAATATTTGGGTTGGTTAAAACCATCAGTAGAATTTAAAGACACCATGTACCAGGAGTGGGGTTTGAACACAAGCCGACATTTGTCCATTGGATCTTAAGTCCAATGCCTTGACCACTCTTCCTGATTCTATTTTTTTTATTCTTTATTTTTTCATCTTGACAGAATCAGCAAACGTAACAGTAGCTGCATGACTTGTGCAAAAGTCAGATACAGGGCAATACATCAGAACACATTAGAAAAAGGAACAAAATATAGTGCCCCTGAGCATTTCACATATTACACAAGTAGGTACTATTTTGCCGATCGTCAAGGGATTTTCCAATATCTTTGACATTGTTAGATTACCAGACGTGTCTAAGTATGCAGTGATATCCCCACAAAGCCATAGAACATCATATGTTGTGTGATTGGAGTACCAACTGTGTCCATTCAGAACAAACAGATAACACTTATATTGATCTCCAGCCCCTCGTGTGTATCAGATATCCAACAACGTCGACCAGCCCCTTATCATGGACTGGTCTAGAAACAAGAAAGAGAAAGAGAGAGAAAAAGACCGAAAGAGGGGAAAAAGAAAAAAGAGGGTGGGACCGGTTAGAGTTTATCAATAAAAGGTGACAAGCACCAGTTAGTGATATGTGGTGGGGGGGGAGTGGGGGACTAGGCGGTCTGTGAGGTGGGGCACTCATTTCATCACTGCCCCAGGGCACTGCTGTCCCAGGGTTCCCATTTTTTGAGGAACGTTTTAAGCGAGCCTTTTACTCTAGCCGTCAATTCATCCATTAAGTGGATCTCTCTAATTCTCGCTATAACATCTGTTACCCTTGGGGTGTCCTGTTGCAGCCAAGTGGCCATTCTCCACGTCTATGGGGTTGCACTGCCTTTTTGGCTGCTAGGGTGAGTTTGTGAATAAGTTTTTGTTCCGCCCTTGTCCAACCCTTGACAGTGCGATTAAGCAGGTAAACCCAGGGATCTAATTCTAGGGTCCTGGAGAGTACTCTCCGTATCAGTTGTTTAATTGCGGTCCAGAAGAGGACAATTTTTGGGCATTCCCACCACATATGTAAGTAGGTGCCTCTCATACCGCAGCCCCTCCAGCATGTGTCAGTAGTGGTTTTATGCATTCTGAATAATTTCACAGGTGTTGTGTACCATCTAAACATTGCTTTAAAGGATTGCCCCTGTAGGGTCACGCATACGGAGGTGGTGTTACTCGCTTCCCAAATCTCCTGCCATTCGATGCCCTTGAGTACCTCACCCAAGTCGTGCTCCCATTGGTCAGTATACCTCAGCCATCCCCAATTGGACATTACTATACATGGCCCTTATGAGTGCGGTATACTCCTTGGGTAGCCCAAAGTGATCCAGCACCGCGAATAGGTATGGCCATTTAACCCTATCAAAGGCCTTTTCGGCGTCTAGTGAGACGATCAGTTTGTGTGTGCGTGCGGTGGCCTGTTTCCAAATTAGGTCAATGTTGCGGCGCCTGTTTTCAAAAAGCTGTCTGCCTGGAACGAAGCCGATTTGGTCGGCATCAATACGTGTAGTGAGGAAAGGGTTTAGTCGGGACGCCTGTAATTTAGCTAAGATCTTCTTGTCATGATTGAGTAATGATATGGGTCTATAGCGCGCTGGTAGGAGCGGGTCTTTGTTGGGCTTAGGTAGTAGCACTATGGTGGCTAGGGACATGTCCCTGTCGGGTATTCCCCCTTCCCTTAATTCTTGGAATAATTTGAGGAGGTGAGGAGTAAGGAATTCCCAGAACGTTTTGTAATACCCTCCATCAAAGCCGTCCGGGGCCTTATTCCCTTTAAGTGCTGTGATGGCCTGATATTTCTCGTCCTCTGTTATCTCTGCTGTTAGGGCGGTCACAGCTTCTTGTGATAGTTTAGGCAAGCCTAGGTCTTTTAGGAACCTCTGAATCTGTATCTCTTCTGTGTCACTACCCCCCTTCGCGCCTGGTGAGTGGTTATATAGCCTTTTATAGAATTCCGTGAAGACCGAGGCTATATCTACCGGGATGGTTTTGATAGTTCCATCTGGATGCCAAATCGAAGTAATGTGTGTGCATCTTTGTCTGGGGTTTAGGGTCCTGGCTAAGAAAGTGTCCATCTTATTTGCTTTTTCATAAAATGTCCGTCTCGTGTATGTCATGGCCTTGGCTGTGTCCTCTAGTAGTAGGGTTCGGATATTATGTCTCACCGCGTCTAAGCGTTGGAAAGTTTCCCTGTCCTGGTTGGATTGGTGTGTCTGCTCTAGAGTCCGCAACTCTGACAGAAGTCGTTCTAAGGTTTGGGATTTTAATTTTTTCTTTTTGGTCGCAAGGCGAATGAATGCCTCCCTTATTACAGCCTTATGGGCCGCCCAAGTGGTGCTTACTTTCAAATCTGGGCAATCATTAAAAGTAAAATACTCTTGTATCTCTTTATTTATTTGTTTTATGATGTCTGCGCCTCTAAGTAGGGACGTGTTCATTCTCCACGTCTATGGGGTTGCAGTACAGAGGCTCCCTAGGGTCAATGTCACCTCAGCGTGGTCGGACCATGTTATCGAGCCCACCGATGATTTCTTAACCCGTGCCAAGCTACAGTCGTTAACCAGGAAAAGGTCGATCCTGGAGTACGTGTCGTGTGGTGCAGAGTAAAAGGTGTAGTCAACCTCGCCTGGATGGGGCACTCTCCATACGTCTATCAAGCCCGTATTTGATATGAACTCGTGTAATAGTTTGTCCTGTCCCCCTCTCCCCTGGGATCTCGGGATCCCTCTGTGTGCGCACCTGTCGATGGGGGGACACGGCACCGCATTGAAGTCACTTCCCATTACCACCATGCCACGCAGCATTTTCTGTATCTGATCCCAGAATCTCTGTTCTGGTTGGTTAGGGGCGTATATGTTGATGAGGTGGACTGTGTGTGAAAATAGAGTGCCAGAAAGGATAATGTACCGTCCTTCCGGATCGGTTTCAGTTTTCGATACCTGAAAAGGGCAACTATTTCGTATCAATATTGCTACCCCGTTGCGCTTCCTGTGTGCCCTGGCTTCATGTGTGGAGCCATATGTGTGGTCCCGTAATTTAAATTTTATGTGTTTAGGAAGGTGGGTCTCCTGCAAAAATGCAACATCTGCTTTCCTTTTTTTTAGCTTGCTGAACAGTAGGCGCCACTTTCTAGGGGTATTCAAGCCCTTCTCGTTCAATGAAGTGAGATTTATAGCTATGTGTATGGTAGGGGGTTCCTGCCGGGCATCACGCCCACCTTTGCTCTCTCCGCCCTTGTCGTGTAATGTCCAATAGTCAGTTGCCACAGAAGAATCGCCCAACTCCCATCCCACCCCCCCAGCAGCGTCCCACGGTCCCATAGGAGAAGAGAAAAGGAAAGTGAGAAAAGAGAAGAGAGAAATAGAGTGTGCCATAAGCACGCCAAGAACTAAGTAAACACTGTCTGGTCTTACCTGCTGCCCGACTTTGATGGGGTACCTGGAACGGCACCTCCATGGCGTCCATGTCACACTACATTGCTAGATGCCATCAACACGGTAACTGCCGTATCCTGTGGGCACGTACAATGCGCGCGCCACACGCGTCAGGAAAGCTAGGCAGCTAAGTTCGGAACCTTATAACTCTAAAAACATTACTATTCACATAAGGTGAAACATGCAACAATCTGTATAACCTTGTAACCTCAGTCCTGTTTAGGGACCGATAACCCTTGTATACACCAGGGCCCTGTGCAGTCTCTATGTAGGGGAGCTATACAAACATTGGGATAATGCACTCATTGGGTAGGGGGCGCTAGAAAGCCGATTATGTGCAGGTACACCAGCTCCACCTGGCGACGTCATGCAATCTTGTCATGTGGCTTAGTGGGTAGCCATTATATGCTATACATGGGTGGGCAACGTATAGCTGTCCTGGCACATAGGTTAATTTGCGATTGGTCATCTGTTGCTTATGCATTTTATCTTGGTGGTTGTGTGTTGGGTTGTGTGTGTATAGGTGCGTGCAGGATGTCGGTGGTGTATGTGGGCAAGTGTTTGTACTCTAGTGAATTGTGTGATGTTGTATTCCTGCATTATCAGGCAGTATTGTGTGTATGGGTGAGTGCCAATATGAGATGCCATGGTCAGTCCGTCGTGGCACATGCATACGCCTTCAGCGCCCCTCTTGGGCATGGCGGTAGTGGCACCAAAATGAGCTAGTCCCACTCCGGTACAGTCCAGGCTGAGGCTCCCAAGTCCCTTCAGCTCATCAGTATAAGTGCTTAGCGTCAACCCAGGTGTCCCCCACGGGCCCCAGGCGGGCTCAGAGTCAATGCCCGATGAATGACCTGGTGACCTCAGAAGTGGGTGCTAGCGAGTTGGTAACAAGCCATATGATTCCCATCCCCCACCCCAGACATCAGTGGCCGCAGTGGCTCCCCCCCAGACTCCAATATGGTGGGTGCCAAGATTGCCAGTGTGTGTGGTAGTTTGGTCGGCAACGACTGGGAGAGTCCCCCCCACCTGCCCAACCCCTCCCCAAGCGTCCCGTCACGACCCCCAATTATCGTTGGCTAACCTAGACAGGTCCTAGGTCTGATGTTGTCGGTCCCGGACCCTTTTCATACGATACCCTTCATTGTTGCCACCGTCTCCCTTCGCCGACCTCCTGCCATTCTGTGGGTAGAGCTTTCAATCCCTCCATGTCATGGGCACCGCAGGCAAGTTAAGAGGGGGTGGGAGTCCCAGACTCCGGAACAGCTGCTCTGGATCCCCACCGGGTGCAAGCACATTCGTGCGGCCATCCTTGAAAGCCAGGAGTTTAAAGGGAAACCCCCAGGCGTGGCGTATCCCAGCCCATCGTAAGGCCTCGGTTATGGGCTTCCATTCCCTGCGTCGCTGTAAGGTACTGGGCGCCAAGTCCTGGTATAGGAAGATCTCTGCTCCTCAGTGCTTTATGGGGCCATCTCTACCCCTTCTCAGCAGGGCCTCCTAGGTTTGAAAGTTGAAGAAGCGGACTACCACATCTCTCGGGAACGTTGCGTCCGATCTCCAGTTGCGCAGGGCCCTGTGTGCTCTCTCTATTGTCCACTGCTCAGCCGGTATATCAGGCAGCAGCGGCTGTAATACCTCCAGCACCAGGTCTCGGATGGGGCCCTCGTTATCTGTTTCAGGGAGGCCTCGCAGGCGGAGATTATTGCGCCGCGATCTGTTGGCCATGTCTTCCATAGTCAGTTCGGCCTCTGCCATGCGGCTTGATAGGCTATTGACTTGGGTGACCATTGCATTGTGGGCTGCGGTGGTAGTTTGCAGTTTGGTCTCCAGCCGGTGAGTCCACGCTCCCAGCGCGTGTATCTCGGCCTGCAGGACCGAAGTAGATTTCTCTATTTCTCCGGCTAGGTATGCTCTCACCTCCACCAGTTTAGCCAGGATCTGGGTTGCTTCCCCTAAGGATGGATATCCGGGTGAGGATGTGCGCGGAGAGGTTGACTGAGAGGAAAGGCCCTCGCCGGCGCCATCTTAGGTCTCAGGCTGTCTGGCTTTCTGAGCTGCGAAAATGCCCATCACAGTGTTTCCACCTTCCTGACCCTTTTTGATGGTCTTCTTAGGGTTTCTTTTATCCATATTTTAATCTTTTCGCTTGTTGTTGGTGCTTTTGTAGGCTAATTGTAGTGTGAATGGAGCGGAGCTCTAGTCAGGCGCGTCCAGCTTCCTTCACTGTCAGGCCACGCCTAGTCCAGGTCAGCCTATGCCTTTTAGCGGCATATTATAGATTAGGGGCAGCCAGGAAGCCGTCGGGAGTAAAGATCCAGGCATAGACCACACAAGTTTCAGGGTAGTCGCTTAGGGGGACCACTTGACAATCCGATCCATCTGGGAATTGCACTCGGCTTCCTTGATCTTGCGCTTGTTTGGGCATTTCCGCCCTGTTTGTGTGTGCCGTGGTCTGGGTGCCATTTGCTTTCTCCGAGGGTGCAGTTGGGGTCCGCGGACTAGGTGGCGTTTAAGCCCGTCAGGGGCATCACTTTGTTGGTGCCTACCGGCTCTGCTCTCCAGACGTCTCCAGAAGTTGTCGAATAGAATGGTGAGCTGGGTTTCAAAGTCAAGCTGTACCACTCCAGAGTCAGGAAAACACACGGTCCCCGCCATGTCAGGTAAGTTGAAGCAGAGTCTCTCCACCACGCCCCTCTGACCAGCTGGGTCAGAGCCGCCTCTTGGGTGTGGACCGGGATCACTCCCACTGGTCCGAGGGGGTGGGGAGTAATGGGTCACTTACAAGAAAGGTGCTTCCCAACACCACCGAGTCAGGAGGTCGGTTGCCTCTCCTGCACGGCACGCACTAGGCCGCATCAGCAACAATGGGGCTTGTGGTTCATCGCAGATTACTTCTTGGCTTGTCAGGTAGGTCAGGATGCTAGTCCCCCTCCCAGCTCTGGTTGCTTTGAGCTAAAGAGGCCCAAAATACGGTAGTTTTTATCAGGATGGTAGAGGAGCTCTCTGGAAAGACCCCATTGTTTTGGTATGCCCCAAAAAAACCTCCACCATTACAGTCAGGCCCCGCCCCCGACAAAAAACTTTTTGTAAACATTGTACATACAAACCAAGGCCACCTAGTTTTCGGATGAGGATTCAACAAGCCAATATCCCAATGGTGGATATAATATTTGGGAATAGGCCTCAGATGGGTAAACAATGCAAACAATAAATTCTGAAGATTTTTTAGAAACACAGGAAGGGGCATTGATAACAGTAAAAGTTACCCGAAGCCAACTTAAAAAACCCCACAGAAGACGGACAACCTGCACAGGCCACTGGTCAAAAAGGAGATTGTACCTGTTTTCAACCTGTCCGTGCGAGGGCTAACAAAAGGACGAGATTAGCCTTCAGTAAAGGTTTATTATTCTTACCAACAACAGCAGCAAAACAATACATGAAAATATGTACTTTAAGACTAAATAATTTTTTTCGAAATTAAAAATAAAATCTGGAATTATACAACAGATACTCAGTTTTTGGTATGAGGAGTACTTTTGACCCATTAGCTTCTATAAAAACTAAATAAAGTTAAAATTTACAAAAGTTGATCATCAAACAACATAAAATGAAACATTCTAATATAACTAGAATGGAAATAAACAATATTAAAACCTTGGGAATTACCTCTATAATTATAATTATCAGACCAGCAGACAAAGGAGGGGGTGTAGTGGTCTTAAATGATAAAGATTGCCTATGGGTATTAACAGGTCACCTACAGTACACAAATACATAAATAACATTGATTGAGGATCCAATAGAAATAATTAATAAATAAAAAAATGATTAAAGTCTAACAATGGGATTACAAGCAGGCTATACAACTTGGAGTTATACCAGTATCTACTTAACAAAAGTCCAAGGACCTGATAATATACAGTATTTCTGGAACCCATAAGGATTCATGTCAACTTCTGGAACTACATCTAGAATTTTCTTCACAACTGTATCCCAAGCTACATATAACTACTATCAGTACAACCCTTTTTGGCCCCCGTCTGACAACTATATTTTTATTTCCTTGTAGCGGAGATGCAATATTCCCCAGGTTATCTCCGCTTATGATCCAAGTGAGGCTCAGGAACAAGTAATTAGTAAATCCACAGGCAAGGTTTCCAGCAGGTAAAATAACAGCAATATCCCCACAGCAATCCCAATAACTGGACGACACACAGTTTCAGGAGCAGAACTGAATCTTTTAATCCACACTGTCCTTTTAAAGCATGCTCCCATGCAAGGGAGGGATTTACAGTAATTATTACAGTAGCCAATCCTGTCCTGGTAACCTCCCACACATCTCCTCCCCTCAGCCAGCATCATAATCCCCTTATCCAGTCTAGCAATTCCCCCCGTTTCTGGATGTACCCCTAAATGTAGGGGTACCCCTTTAAATCCTACATCCCCTGATAGCCCTGATCTGGGTGAACAACATATCCAGAAATCACCCAGATCAGACCAGGGGTTCGGGAAATTTATGGAGGGAATAAAATGACCGACCGCACTGACTGAGATAGCCGAAAGCGGTTCCATGCGAATGGGCCCTGCGGTCGGTCCTGGAATAAGGGAACAAACTGCACGAAAGCCTCTAGCTATAGAGGCTAGGGAGGGTTCGCCTGAATCCCCTCGTTCGGTTCTTTCTATCTACCGAACGAGGGGCCGTTCGGTAGTTTGGAACCGAACGGACCGGGCTTGTGGAGGTTTCAGCGGTGTTCACCTAGTCGAGTGTCCGATTTGAGTTCCAGACACTCGACGGCAAAACACCGCTGTTCGGGAGTTTTAAAATGGCCGCCGCCACGTGTTCGTTTGTCGAATGGCGGCCACCCCCTAGAACAAAGGACGGCTATTTAACCTGTCAATTACCCGTTCGCAACAATGTTGCAACGGGTGATTGAGGACACACTTAACACAGGGGAGGTCTGATTGTTCGGTAGTTTCATTCCCTTAGTTTATTCGAATGATTCTACCGAACAATCAGAGGAATACAATTCTTTTAAACACATATAAAACTAGCAGATCACACGAATGCAGTTATTCACAAGACATTTGCAGGGCATCCCAGTGCCATCTGCTACATTCCTCTTCTCTCATTTCTAAACCAGCTATACTTTACAGGATTAATTCAGATCTAGATCTACCCCATTGTTTTGGAATGCCAAAAAAACCCTCAGACAACTCGTGCTTCCATATTTCCAAAGAAGATACATTTGTACTTTTTAGCTCAGTGATCTCAAAGTCATATTATCTGGTGGTCAGTGGAACAGTCGTCATTTCTCATGGTGGCCACAGATCCAAAGTCAAAAAAGCACCTGTAAATACTAATCCATACGCCCTTATCACAGACACACACAACTACACACCCCATTGTTGGGCAGACTAGATGGGCCAAACGGTTCTTATCTGCCGTCTATATTTCTATGTTTCTCCAATACACACAGCTTTCAGTGGAGTACACTATCCAGCCTCATCACTGGAGATCCATAGAGAGGTAAGCCTGAGACTCAGACATACTTATTTATTTCAGGATGAGTGGCTATGAACCACGGTTTAGGGGGGTGGAGCTATGAGCCACTATTTAAGGGGGTTGTAAATGGCCCCCACACCAGTCCATTGAGTCCTTTGTTTAAGATGGATAAGGATAAACTATATCTATGCGTTCATAATTTTGTTCAAGCGCATGATATGAACATCGTACAGAACAGGAGGAAGGGAGCGAGGTAAATAACAATGGCAAAAGAAAGTGTGAATTTCCTGTTGCTAAAGCGCTAGTCGTTCAGAGTGTATGAGTGTATCACATAGCTCATTTCACAATACTGTGCGATGTGTATGAATGCATCACTAAAAACTCCTTAGAATAAATCTGCAATATTGTGCTGTGTGTGTGAGTTCTAGAACAATTAAAGGTGATGCTGTGCATTACAGAAAGCAGACAATATAGATAATGTAGATTTCAGAAGAAGAGCGTGGATGGGGGCTATTATCAATATCTTTTATTTTTTATCTCTTTGAACTCAATCTCAAAAACCACGCTATTGTATTTAACATAAAAACATGCATACCCCCCAATATCAGTGTTTTGTAAAGCAGGATGCCAGTGTAGCGGTACTTACCTTACCCGGGGGCCGGCTGAGGTCCTCACTTCCGGCCGCACGCAGCTCCCAAATGCAGGCGGGCACGGACCGCGAGATGCGGTCACGTGTTCCGCCTAGCTCTAAGAGCGTGCCACGCGTCTCGGGCACGCTCTTAAAGGGGCAGTGGGAGCCAAAAAATGAAATGTGCTCCCATTGGCCCCTGTCATCCCACGTTCCCCAGACACTCACATTTTGGGGACGTGGATATGACGGGGCCAATCAAAGTAAAGTTTAGGGTATTTATACTTACCTCTCCCTTAACTCCCTGCCCTATCGTGGTTTCTGTTTCAGTTCCCTTTAGCGCTTGTTGTGTTCAGTTGTGATTTTCGTGCTTGACCTTGGCTTTGTTCTGACTCCGTTTATCTCTCTATCCCTGTTTTGTCTTGTTTGCCGGCTTACTGACTACTGTGTACCAGATCTTGGCTAGTTTTTGTTCTCTCTGTCTCTTTGTTCCCTTGACCTCGGCTTGTTCTTGACTCTGTCTATTCTCTGCTTTACGGCGAGTCCGGCCATTCTAAGGTCCGGTAAGCCGTATCTGCTCTATCTGTCGATTGTTGAACTAAATCCTGCGTGTAGGGGTAAACTACCGTGACAGCCAGAGGGCGGGGTAATCATGTCACTGGTGCTGCCCAAAGGTAGCAGTGATGCCTGGAAAGGGGTGCGTCTGCCCAATAACTGGCAGGGCAACCCAGCATGCATTCATGCCCTGAGCATGGCGCAAGTGCATGTAATTAAGTGCTACGCAATCTGGAAAAAGGTCTCCAAAAGTGGAATACCACTGCATAGGACCCACAAATCTGGACTGTCTTGCCGACATCAGAACTGTTAGGAGGCTTGGACATGTAAAGAATTAATTTACTTTAATCTTGACTATTCTTTGGGTGCGATAATAGATACAACAACCACTCATAAAATATGTACAGGTATTAAACAACACAAACATTTCATTTGACTTAAGCCACACTAATGGCCGTGGGAATTGCTAAATATGGTTTTTTTTTCAATCATTTATATACAAATTTAATCTAATAATCTTTTTAAAGAATTTTTTTGTTACAATGAATAGCACATTTTATATCGCTTACATCCTCAAATGCTCCCGAATATCCTGGTAGGATTCATTGTCACTTAATTGGAATCTATTTCTGTGCATCTTGTTTGGACTCACTGCTTTGCGGCTCCACAAACCCGATAAGAGTCAGAGCTCGGGGAAAATCATTTTAGGCAACTTGTTTATCTTGGTTTTTTTTAATAGAGAACAGACTGACGGAGAAGAAAGCACTGGGAATAATGGCTACTGCTCAAGTGGATAAATAACAAAAGATAAATAAAAATGCATCTCCCATATCAAAGCAAAGGGCTAACTGATCTTCCCTGGCATTTTCATACTCATTCAATCTATTAATTACTTTTTCGGCTTTGTGTTCAAATGCCATTGAGAAGTTAAATGTGCATTAGTATAAGCCTACATGTCTTCTTAACCCC